ATTGTTATGAAAAGTACATGCATCACTAAATAACACATTTTCGAAAAACTTTTCATTTTTTGCCACTTTATCTAACACCCACATGCAAAGCTCAGTTCGGTTCTCAAAATCATTTCCATAAAGTTATTGGCAAAGCTGAATTTTATAAGGATACAAGTTGTGCTTTTTGATAATTCTGGAAATATTTGATTGACTAATGTTAGTACTTTTGGATATTAGATTTTGACTAACATTGGGATTTTCGATAACTGAACCAATTACCGTGAAAACATTTTCTTCATCTTCAGTGACAGATTTCCCTGTAATGGGTTTTTTATAATTGACACTCCCACTTTCCTCAAATTGGTGTAATAAGCGCTTAAAAACTGTTGGCTTAGGATGATTTCTTTCAGGAAACTTTTGAGCATAAACTCGAGAAGCCAATAAACAATTTTTATGACATTCTCCAAGGGGGAAAATCATGTCAATACGCTCTTTTCTTGGATAATTCTTCATTTTCACTTAGCAACACAATAATAACATTAAAATAACGACCAACACGTCTACCATTGCAAAAAACAATACCACTCTAGTTATCAAAAAGAGACTTTGCAGTCTAAACTGACAAATAAAATAAATGATTTGACATGTGTAAATGACATAGGCAACTTAGATACATTGGAACCTTAAATTAAACAACACCAAATGGTGCACAGAACGACTATTGGACGTATTTTATAAAAAGGCAAAAACTTAGCTATTAACATCCTAATTCCAAATCAAAATTAATTCCTGGGTTTCAGTCATTTATTGTCTTTATTTATCAATTATACGTTTCGGTGTTTTTTTTCCACCATCATCAGTTTTTACGTGTAGCGTTGTTGCTGCTTTAAGCCTTGGCATACATTTGCCAAGACTTAAAGCCGTAGCCGCTTAAAATGTATGCCAAGGCTTAAAGCAGCAACAACGCTACACGTAAAAACTGATGATGGTGGAAAAATACACCGAAACGTATAATTGATAAATAAAGACAATAAATGACTAAAACCCAGGAATTAATTTTGATTTGGAATTCAAACACAGTCAGGAAAGTATATACAATAACATCCTAATACCATTCGATAGGTAATTAAAAATTGCATTTCCTGGTAAGTTAAAAAATATGGGCTTGTATTTAAATTAATCAAGTTAGAGCCACTTAAAGTTCTTATTCGCTTAGTTTAAATTTGTGGACACCCTGTATAACATGGCAAGTTTATTATCATTGGGATATAAAATATTATATCTTGTTACACTTCATTATAAATTACGCTTACATAACTTAAATACTTCTAAAGTATTTGACACGTGAAAATTAGATTAGATTTTGATTAAATTCGTATTATTTAAAAAACC